TAATGTGTAATAGAGACCCTGCCCATAAGGAGTCTGAGGCCTAAGGAAGACAGGCAAGCAAACAAATATTTATGTGACCCAATAAGTAATGGAGTTTTAAAAGAATAGTGGAAGCAACTAACTGTAACTTGGTAAGCAGGGGTCTGTCATTAGAGTTCGAGACGTCTAAGTGTGTATTAAAGACTAAGTAGGAATTTGGGGCACCTGGGCGGCTCAGTCGGTTAAGCATCCGACACTTAATCTCAGCTCAGGTCTCGACCTCAGGGTCATGAGTTCAAGTCACACATTGGGCTCCATGCTGGGTGTGGAGCGTACTTAAAAAAATAAAAATAAAGACTAAGCAGGAATCACAAAGTAAGAAACCCGAAAGTGTATTTCAAAGCAGAGAGCAGCATATGCAAAATACTAGTACTAGGAACAAGCCTTTGAATAAATGACTGTATTTAAGCTCAGTTATCCAGATGATAGAATGATAAGAGGTCATCAAGGAAAAGGTAAATTATATATATATATTTTTTGTTCTTTTTTTTAATGTTATGTTAATCACCATACATTACACCATTAGTTTTTGATGTAGTGTTCCATGATTCATTGTTTGCTTATAACACCCAGTGCTCCATGCAGAACGTGCCCTCTTTAATATCCATCACCAGGCTAACCCATCGGTAAATTATATTTAATATACTTGTTCTAACAAGATTGGACAATATGTGAAATTCTTTTTTTTTTTTTTAAGATTTTATTTATTTATTTGACAGAGAGAGAGAGTGCACGCAAGCAGGAAGAGAAGCAGGCTCCCCACTGAGCTGGGAGCCCGATGCGGGGCTCCATCCCAGGACCCTGGGATCGTGACCAGAGCCGAAGGCAGACGCTTAACGACTGAGCCACCCAGGCGCCCAATTTCTAAGTGCTTTCCGTTTGAAGTATTAATAAAACTTGAAAAATTTGGCACTTCAAAGGCAAGGTTTAGTCATAAGGAACATTAATTTAAGTAAAATACTTATCTTTTTAAAAAAAGATTTATTTACTTTAGAGAGAGAGCACACGAGCGGGAGAGGCAGAGGGAGACTCTCAGACACCACACTGCGCCCGGAGCCCGACATGCTGAGCGATCTCACGACCCTGAGATCACTACCTGAGCTGAAACCAAGAGTCGGACACTCAACTGATTTGCCACCCCGGCACCCCTAAGTAAAATATTTCTTAATAACATATTACTATTATGATCTTTCCAACACTAATTTTCTTTATTCCTTTTTTAATTTTTAAAATAGAGATTATAAAAGTAATTCCTGAATAGCTGCTTGTTATTAAAGTTTTAGATAAAATCATTTCTAAGTTTCTCATAGGCGACCAAGTGGTCATCCTTTCAAATCTTTTCCTTTGCATCTTCATGTAAGGACACATGCATATTTCATATATTCACATATTTACAATTATACACATATTTTGATAGTGACTTTTCATGTAATATATGTTCAAGATTTTTGCTACCATTATTAAATCAGGAAAATTATTTTAACATTTAGTTAAAAGTTGGACTCTGATTTTTTTATTTATGAAACATTAATCTTTCTTTTTTAAAGATTTTATTTATTTGAGAGACAGACAGAGAAAGCACAAGCACAGGGAGCAGCACTGGGAGAGGGAGAAGCAGGCTCTCAGCTGAGCAGGGAGCCTGATGCGGGCTCAATCCCAGGACCCTGAGATCATGACCTGAGCCAAAGGCAGACTCGCTTAACCAACTGAGCCAACCAGGCATTCCAGGACTCTGATTTTTAAAGCCTCATTAGTGAAGTCTTCCTCTTGGGCTACAGATGAAACACTAACTAAAGCTAAATAACCATATACTAATAAGTAGATATTTGTAGCTCATATTGTGCAGGGAAACTGAACAGCTTCATTTACTAAGAAGGAAAGGGGGGGTTAGGAGAGAAAGGCTCTTCAACAGGTGCAGTGGCCCCTGAGTCACTCACTGACTCTGGGAGACTTGGGGATATATTCCACCTACCCAACTGATAAATCATTATTTGCCATCAACTAGTTTCATCAAACGTTATCACTGGTCTTTTATGTAAAAATCTCTGGTTCTCTAAACTTGGAATTACCAAAATTTCGTTTGGGTTTAAATGTGCTTCTTAGCTTTGCCCACTGCAGCAGTTCATGGTTCTCCAGTAAACAAAAAACACAATCAGTGTGTGAAATCCATGTGGTTTAGGATAACTGACTCTCAGTTCAGCTATTAGTTGGGAAAATAAACTTTTTCCTTTTTTTTTAAAAAGATTTTATTTATTTATTTGACAGAGAGACAGCGAGAGAGGGAACACAAGCAGGGGGAGTGGGATAAGGAGAATCAGGCCTCCTGCTGAGCAGGGAGCCTGATGTGGGGCTCAATCCCATGACTATGGGATCATGACCTGAGCCGAAGGCAGACACTTAATGACTGAGCCACTGAGGCGCCCCTAAACTTTTTTCTATGTCTCAGTTTCTTAATCTGTGAAACAAGGATGTGCTATGTAGTCTATAGCACTGTTGTAGGGATTAAGTAAGATGCTATACTCAAAGGACATGGAACACAGGTATTCCACAAATGCTGACTGTCACCCTCTTTCTTGCAAAGAGGCCTTACAGAAGACAGAAACATTTAAAACAATTCCTTTTTTGTGAATTCAGCCACAAAAATATCCACAATTAAAGGATTTTTGAACTAGCTTTTGTTGCAGATTATAACTAGTATTTAATTATTAGTCTACACAAAGGAAAATTCTTGCAACTTGGAATCTATTAAAAATTCAACCATTCCAGGGGCACCTGGGTGGCTCAGATGGTTAAGCATCTGCCTTCAGCTCAGGTCATGATCCCAGGGTCCTGGGATCGAGCCCCGCGTCGGGCTCCTGGCTCAGCGGGGAGCCTGCTTCTCCCTCTCCCTCTGCCTCTCCCCTGCTCATGCTCTCTCTCTCTGTGTCTCAAATGAATAAATAAAATCTTTAAAAAAAAAAAAATTCAACCACTCCTGAGTTGAATTTGATTTTGCAATGAACTACAATAGAAGGGCAGTTCTGCTAAGCAAATACTACAACAGGATAGCAAAAGACTGTTTGACACATCTACCTTGAATAAATAGTAACTTTATTTGTTTAAAAATAATTTCCAGTTTACATAAAAGTGGCAAGAAGAGTATACCCTTTTCCTGGATTCCCTCATTGTTAAATGTCCCATTTGCTTTATTATCTCTCTCTCTCTAAATACAGGCCTTTTTTCCTCAACTAGGAATAAGTTACTTATATCACACTTCTAAATACTTGATTTCCTAAGAATATGTACATTTTCTTATAAAATCAGGTAAGTTATCAACTTCAGAAAATTTAACATGGTTATACTTTATCACCCATAGTCCAGTTTTGTTAACAGACCTATTATTGTCCTTTATAGCATTTTTTCTCCCTCTACTACCAAAATCTAGACCAGAATCCCCTATTGCATTTACTTGTCATAGCTCAGTAAATAATATCTGATATGCTGTTATTTCAAAGAGATTAGAAAATTAAACTTAAACTACAAAAATGCAGCTGACTTAAGTTCTGTTCCAGCATTTTAAATGTCCTTTCCTTTTATGTCAGCAACGCTATTTCTACAGTTCCAAATAATTTATCAAAACAATCTTTAAATCTCAAAAAAAGTATTCAAGAACGAAAAAACTGAACCTCATTAAAAATGAAGACAATACCAAATTCCAACAAAATTGTTGGGCCATATTTTATGCATCTTTGACACTACCTCAGAACTTAAGATAGATCAAGGACACACTCGAGAGTAGTTACTATACTTACTTCTTGGGAGGTTAGTGGGAACATGGGGGGGGCGGGTAAAGAGGAATTTTCGCTTTTTATTCTCTGAATTTTTGTAGTATTTGAGTTTTTTTTTTAAACAACGAGCACACATTTCTCATTTAATAATAAAATAAAATAAGCCAAGGAAAATAAAGAAAGCTAGATGACGGGCTGAATTTTTTTTTCCCCCCCCCACGGGCTGAATTTTTGATGTGCGGGGTTAACCTGAATGTCGAAGTTCATCCGTTTGTACTTTGGTTTGTTCGCCTTTAGATGGTGACACCTTCCCCTAACTTACGCAGCGAGACGTCAGAAAGGTTTAGTAGTCACTAAACTACTATTTCAGGGAGAAAGAGCCAACAGAAATGGTTGTCACAGACCAGAAAAACCCCTCCCGCAAACCGGCTGGCAGAGGGAAGGTTGACGGTATGCCTCGAACGCCAGAAACTCAAGCAGAACCGCCCTGGGCTTTAGAGCATTCATTCTGCAGCGGGCAACAGGGGAGCCAATGAAAGCCACAGGCGCAGGAGGCACAGGGACAGGACGGACCGCTGTGGGACGCGGGCTGGGCTGAGGGCGTTCCAGGCTGTCAGCGGGACGGGAGGGACGCCGGTGCCCGCGCGCGTCCGGGGGGCAGCTGCCGTCCGGGTCCGCGAGTGAGCGAGCCGGCGAGCGCAGGCGCGGGAGAGAGGCGCTCCGGTGGCGCGAGCCGCGTCCGTCACTTACCGAGAGCTGGGCACGTCCACCGGCCCGAGGCCGCCGCCGCCGCCGCCGGGGCCGGCTAGCACGTCCCCGCCGTATTTCTCCTCCATCCCGGGGCTCACGAGCCGCAGCCGCTGCCCCCGCCGCGGGGTTTCCTCATGTCTCGCCGCTGCCGCGGAACAGCGGGCGCAGGCGCGTCACTCCCCCATGGCAGCGGCCCCGTCCGGTCCCCGCAGGCTCGGCCGCCGCCGCTGTCCCCGGCTCCGGCTCACAAGCACACGCGCGTCGGGACTAGGCCGCGGGCAGTTCCGGCGGCGCCGGGGTCCCCAGAGGCGCACCGGAGCAGACGTTGCCAGGCCACGTCATCGGGCCCAGCAGCCCTCACTCCCGGGGGAGTGCCCAGCCCTGCGCCTGCGCACAACAGAACGCTCGCTTTCTTTTGCCCTTCCCTAGGTTCCGCCTACCACGGGGTGACGGATCGCATCCTCGCTCTGGATCAGCCCCTCCCAGTGACGCTGCCTGTGCCCTTACCTGTCCCTGCAGCGCCACCTCAGGGTCGTCAGGAATACAGCGGGTTCTTGTAGCACCGCGGAAGAGGGTATAGAAAATGGACAACGTGTGATTCGATGGAATAGAATATCTTTAAAAAAATCCGGCTGCTAAACTATGCTACTTAATCCTGGTACATCAGTAAAACTTGGCCAGGTAGGACCAGGCCTTATTAGAGTTATTTTTCTGTTGCTAAAAATTTAGGAATGTGGGCTCTCTTGTCTGTATTTGTGTGAATCCCAACTCTGTTACTTAATAATTGTGTCACTTGGACTTTCTGTACCTCAATTTTTTTATTGGTAAAATGGGAATAGAAATATGTATATTACAGGGTTGTTGGGAGGATTATTTGTGTTATGTGAAAAATGTCTAGAATAGTGAATGGCACACAGTAATCAATGAATGTTAGCTATTATTACTCATAGGGAAATTGAAGACCAAGAGATGGAAATGGGGTTTGGAGCATTTTACAATACTCTACTTAATTTGATATACATAAAAAGTCTTAGTAGGGGCGCCTGGGTGGCTCAGTTGGTTAAGCGACTGCCTTCGGCTCAGGTCATGATCCTGGAGTCCCGGGATCGAGTCCCGC